AACCTGGCCCAGGGATCCCCTTGTGGCAGCTGCACAGGGAGGGCGGGGGCGGATCCGAGGGTTTGGGGTTTCGGGTTTAGGGTGCAGCGTAACCCTAAACCCTAAACCCTAAACCCTAAACCCTGAACCCTGAACCCTGAACCCTGAACCCTGAACCCTAAACCCTAAACCCTAAACAAGCCCTAAACCCTTTCGGGCTTCCAAACAAAGGGGGCTGAGCTTGTAGCTTCGACTTACCCATCATGTGTGCCCAGATACATCCTGCAATTGTGTGAACCCTCCCTATACACCCTACACCCGGGCAACTCTTAATATCTGAAGTTCGGGCCCAGGGGGTTTTGCCGGGCATAGAAGGGACACACAAGGGTTCCTGAATGAGGTGCCCACAGTGCGGACAATGGAGCTACTCTCAGAGCAACGAAGGCAGTTTAGGATTTTAGGGTTTTTGGGTTTTCGGGTTTTTGGGTTTGGGTTTTAGGGTTTAGGGTTTTTCAGTTTAGGGAGGGTTTGGGGTTTTAGGGTTTCGGGTTTTAGGATTTTAAAATTTAGGGTCTAGGGCTTAGGGCTTAGGGCTTAGGGTTTAGGGTTTAGGGTTTAGGGTTTAGGGTTTAGGGTTTAGGGAACTCCCACCCTAGGAGTACATTCGGGCGCGGGAGAAGCACTTCGAGGCGCCCCTGCAGGCGCAGCTGCGAGAGCTGTCGGCTCCTCGGCGCGCTTGGTAAGGGTTTAGGGTTTAGGGTTTAGGGTTTAGGGTTTAGGGTTTAGGGTTTAGGGTTTAGGGTTTAGGGTTTAGGGTTTAGGGTTTAGGGTTTAGGGTTTCAGGTTTAGCGTTTAGGGCAAGTTTTGGGCTTGGGGGTTAGGGTTTAGGGTAATTATAAAGGGCTTAAGGAGGGGCCCCCAAATATGCCCCTAAGGTCTCTTATAACAGTCCCTCCTTTCGTCGACTTGAATGATAGGGGTGTTTAGTATCCGTGAACCTCCGAGTAGGGTTTGGAGTTTAGGGTTTGGGGTGAGGCAGTACTAAACCCTAAACCCTTAATACAAAGTCGGGTCAATAGGTAGCCAGACAGTGCAGGCGTTGGAGACAGTTGAGGGTTTCGCCAACCCTAAACCCTAAACCCTTAACGCCTTAAAGGCAGGCTTGGACAAGAGAGAGGCCTCGTTCAAAAAAGGGTTTAGGGTTTTGGGGTTTATGGATTAGGAAACCCTCGTTCGGGGTTTTAGGGCTGGTTGGGCTTTTAAACCCTAAACCCCCCTAAACCCCCTAAACCCCCTGAACCCCCTAAACCCCCCTAAACCCCCTAAACCCCCTAAACCCCCTAAACCCCCCAAACCCCCTAAACCCCCTAAACCCCCTAAACCCCCTAAACCCCCTAAACCCTAAACCCTAGCCCTAAACCCTAAACTTAAACCCTACGGTCCATCATGGCGAGGTCCCGCAGCAGCAGGCTGTGCTGGCGCTCCACAGCCGCCAGGGCTCCGAGGGCCTCATGGCGGTCAACCTAGAAATCCCCAAACCAGGGGGGTTTAGGGTTTAGGGTTTAGGGTTTAGGGTTTAGGGTTTAGAGTTTAGGGTTTAGGGAGCCCCTGAGTTATATGGGCGGAAAATACCATGTATGTACAATATGATGGAAGTGCGATTTGAAGTTCCGCTTTTGCTGGCATATATCTTCGCCACAAGGCGGCACCATGTGTGTATGCAGGTTTCAGGCTCTCCCCCATGTAGGCGCTAGGATAGCGCTAGTGTGGCGCTAGGTTTTCCTTTCCAAAGCTGACATGGCATGAAATGAGGATGCTGATGCTTGCTTGCGAAGCATTTGCTCCAGTAGTTCCGAAGACGACGCCTGAGTCTTAAAATGAAGGTGCCAGTGTGTGTTGCGAGGTTTTTACATAGGGCACAAGATTCGTACTATACTTCTGTACTTGCCAAAGCCATCGTTCCAGACCTTCGTTATCCTTTTCGTCATAAGTCGGCACCATGATTTTTTCAGCATCCATTTCACTCAACATCTGGGGCTCCCGCTGGTCTCCCAGATAGGGGGGTTACCCCTACACCTTAAGGACCGAATGAACCCTGAAAGGGTTGTTTATGGTTCACATACCTTAGTAGGGCTAACTGTAGTGTAGGATATACGACCCCAATTTTTAGGGTTCATTTCGTCCCTGAGGCAGTTCTGCATTCTTGTTTCCTGCTTGCCTGGTGGTGCCTTCGACCCTCTTGGGGTTGTGGATTGCCTTGTAACCGTAGCCAAGCCCCGACAAGGGTACCCAGGGAACCTCAAAGCCAAGAAGGGTACCCTTGTGATGATATGGGTGTTTACGAAAAGTAAGGTACCCCTAATGTAGTCCCCAAATATAAGGATTCCAACAAAACAAGGACCCCAAGAAGGTACCCCCAATTTCGGAAACCCCCATAATATGGGCTCGCTCTTCTCTATGGACGATGTTGGGGGGTTTAGGTCGGTTTAGGGTTTAGGGTTTAGGGTTTAGGGTTTAGGGTTTGGGGTTTGGGGTTTGGGGTTTGGGGTTTATAGGGTTTAGGGTTTAGGGCCCAAACCGGGATCATAGGCTTGTGAGGTGTGGGGGGCCGGTGGGTGTAAGTTTAGGGTTTAGAGTTTCGGGTTCAGGGTTTATGGTTTAGGGCAGAAGCCTCAGATCTCAACCCCCCCCCCCCCGCCCCAGGGCTTTGCAATAATTTGGGGTTCCTATTTTTTATGGTTCTGGCCAAGCAAGAAGACACTTCAGGGATGAGGTCCCTAAACCCTAAACCCTCAACCCTAAACTTAAACCCTAAACCCTCAACCTCAAACTTAAACCCTAAACCCTAAACCCTAAACCCCAGGCCTGGCGGGCATCTTCTTCACCAATGCGCTGCCCACGGAGCAGGAGGAGGACTGGGTGCTGCTCCTCGGCGCGGAAGCTTACCTGGGTGATGGGTTGTGGGGTTTAGGGTTTAGGGTTTAGGGTTTTGGGTTTTGGGTTTGGGGTTTGGGGTTTGTAAAGGTATAGGGTTTAGGGGCTACCTGGGGCGTCTGAGGGTTTGCGGCCGAGTAATCCTGCCGCGAGTTGCTGTAACACACAGCAAGACCGGGCAGTCCAGAATTTTACGGTTTAGGGTCTAGGGTTTTGGACGTAAGAGAGCCCTCCAGGAAGAGGGTTTTGGGTTTAGGGTTGATGTATGGAGACCCCATTGGAACCATAAGAGAGCTTACAGCAAGATCCTAGCCCTTCCTCACGCAAGCTACTCAGGTGCCGGACTAGAACTTTAAGGCTCGAAGGATAGGGTTTTTGGTCCCAAAGGCCTTCTTATGTGGGCAAGGTGTGGCTGCTACGATAGATCAGTATTTCAGTCAGGGCCAAATCTTAAGAGAAGACACAAAAAAAAGGTATACTTTGGACTTATATAGGGCTTACCGCGGTTTGCCAAGTTCTCTCGAAACAGGTGCGAGACAGCAAGCCGGTTCAACAGCAGCTGCCAGCAGAATGCCGTGTACCAGTGGTCTGAGACTTTGCAGCGCTTGTTCTGATTTCTTGCAGTTCATCTCAACCCGAGCCCCAAATTCAAAGCAATTGGGACCCCGCTGCCACAGAAAGCCACCCCTGCTTGCAGCACCCATTCTGCATCATTTGCCGCAGCACACAGTCTTGCAGATGCGCATGCTGGAAATCTAGGCAGCAAAACTCTCTTTGCCTCCCGATGGTTATTTGTGGGTGGCTGTGGCGATGGTGACTTTCTGACACCTAATTCTAGGTAGGCCCCTGAAGCATTTTATATTTTCCCTTATTGGGTTTAAGAGGGTCATATCTACGAGTATTTTTCAGAGGGCTTTAAGGGCCATCCTAGAATTGTAAATGTCCCAGCAACGCAGGAGGTCAGGGACTCCGCATTCCCCATGGCTACAGCGCCTGGCGATTAGGGTTTAGGGTTTAGGGTTTAGGGTTTAGGGTCTTCAAACCTCGGCTCCAATTCTCACAAGACCTTGCATGCTCCCTACGCAATGGCTCGGCCTTCATTGATTTGGGGACCAACTATGAACCCGGAAATTGGGGTCGTAAACCCTACACTACAAAAATCCTTACTAGGGTACACGAACCCTAAACCCTAAACCCTAACCATAAACCGGTTCGGGGCTCATTTGGTCCTTAAACCCTAAACCCCAAGCCCTAAACCCTAAGGCTAAACCCTAAACCCTAAGGCGTTAAGGTGCTCTCTTTCTCTGCAGCCTCAGGAGAGGCAAAGCTCTGCGTCGATTCGAGCAGTCTGGGACATTCCGGTCGGCGAAGAGATTTCTGCCACTTGACATGGGCTTAGGGTTTAGGGTTTAGGGTTTAGGGTGTAGGGTGTAGGGTGTAGGGTGTAGGGTGTAGGGTTTTGGGTGGGCTGCGGGTCATTTATAGGGTTCTTGAGGGGTATAGGAAATGAGGGGAATGTTCAGGTACCTTCTATCTCCTTCCTTGTTTTAGGGCTTGGGGGTTTAGCGGATCAGAGGCTTGGATGTAACAGGGTTTAGGGCATACAAACCCTTCAAGGTCTTGTTTAGGGCAACCTTATGATTCCACACTCGCCTGCAGCTGGGCCTTTGACAGCCATCCACGGAGATGGGCCGAAAGCCAGTCTCGCTTAGCCTTCCGCGCCTCTTCCGGCACCATGCTAGCGCGCCTTCTAGAGCTGGGGTTTGGGGGTTAGGGTTTCGGATTTGGGTGGGGATTAGGTCAACAAAAGTAACAAAAGCTAAGCTGCTTCGGGTCATGGGCCATCTGTTGGGAGCAATTGATGAAGTTAATTGGCTTTCCTGGGTTCCATATCGACCACGAGCACACAGAACACCTGAACCCTAAACCCCAAACCCTAATCCCTAAACCCTTGTGAAAACACTAAACCCCAGACCCCTAAACCCTGAACCCTACCTTTCTCAGCATCCCACGACCTAGGGTGCTGGCACTGCACCGGCCTTCTGAAACCCATACTTAGGGTTGCATATACCTATGCATACATATGTATATATACATATATACATATATGTGTATGTAGATTTCGATATCTTTGTTTTTCATGTATAGGGCAGATATATATATATATATATTTATTTATTTATTTATTTATTTATTTATTTATTTATTTATTTATATATATATATATATACATACATACATATTGTATACATACATATATTCATACATGTATACATATGTTATACATAAGTTTTTATTTATTTACTTATGCATTTTTCTTTATGTGTTATTTAAATAATTTTGGTCAGGGCATTGAAAGACGCAGGTCTTCTACGGGTCCACCGAGCAGCTCCTCAGCCCTGGAGTCCAACGCCGCGAATTTCTGAGCCGCTTCGGTGGAGTCTTTTCAGCTTCCACTTGTTTAGGGTTTGGGGTTTGGGGTTTGGGGTTTAGGGTTGAGGGTTTAGGGTTGAGGGTTTAGGGTTTAGGGTTTAGGGCTAGGGGTTTCTAGGGTTTTGTAGGGTTACAGGTTTAGGGGGTTACAGGGTTAATGCGGCGATAGGGTTTAGGAAGCTTTGCTGCGGGGTAAAGAGCATGCAAGCTCGAGGTGGGATGTCCGGAAACCGATGCATGGTCTTATGACTGTCAAGGCTCCCTGCCAGTGTAACCCTAAGGACCCATGTACCTGTATCGTAGGGTTGAGGGTTTAGGGATTATATAGGGTTTAGGGTTTAGGGAGTATGTACTTGGGCCCCTAGAAAGCTGCTGTGGAGGAACTTCTTGAAGGCCCCACACGGATCCTTTTTTGAAATATGGACACGGATGGCCGGTACTTCGTGCCCGTTTCTTTGTTTTAGGGTTTAGGGTTGAGGGTTGAGGGTTGAGGGTTGAGGGTTCAGGGTTCAGGGTTCAGGGTTCAGGGTTTAGGGTTTAGGGTTTAGGGTTTAGGGGCCCGCCATAAACTCCATCAAGCACAGACCCAGAGACCCAACAAGGAATCTACCTCAATTTATATAGGGATCCTTAATGTGCTTTATGAAGGGGTATTGGGCTCTATGGGACAGGGGGACCCCTTGTCATCACTCTTCTTGGCTTGCTGAACATTGAGGGCTTTCGGTTAGCAGCCCCTCTAAAACCAACAAGGGCACCCTGTTTTTGTGTTTTATAGGTTACTCAGGAGTCTAGGGTTTAGGGTTTTAGGGTTTTAGGGTTTTTAGGGTTTTAGGGTTTTAGGGTTTTAGGGTTTTAGGGCTTTAGGGTTTTCGGGTTTTCGGGTTTTAGGGCTTTCGGGTTTTAGGGCTTTAGTAGGGTTTTGGGGCTTTAGTAGGGTTTTAGGGCTTTAGTAGGGTTTTAGGGCTTTAGTAGGGTTTTAGTAGGGTTTTAGGGCTTCAGAAGGGTTTTAGGGCTTTAGTAGGGTTTTAGGGTTTTAGGGTATCCCCAGGCTTTTGGGGCTTCGATTGCTGCTGCCCCGCCTGCTCGGCCCGCGGGTCGGACGACAACCGGCGGAGGATTCGGGAGCTCTCTGCCAGGCCGGGGAAGCCCTAAACCCTAAACCCTAAACCCGAAACCCTAAACCCTAAACCCTAAACCCTAAACCCTAAAGCCTAGCGGAAACAAAAAAAAAAACCTAAAACCTAAACCCTAAACCCTAAACCCCTAAACCCTAGACCCCACCTTACCCTAAACCCTTAGCCCTAAGTCTAAACCCAAAACCCTAAACCCCAACTTACCCTAAACCCTAAACTCCAACTTAACCCCCTAAACCCCAAACCCCTAACTTTTGGGCCGAGGGTTTACCAGTAACGAGGAGGTAATTTGGCAGCTTTCGGATAAGTTTGGTTGGTTCGGCATTTGCTGAACTGATACCCTGACCCTAAACCCTGAACCCTAACCCCAAACCCTAAACCCCCTCAAGCCACAATTACACGAATCCGAAGCCTCCCCTGGTAGGCTCTCGCCTGTTGCATCAGATGTGCTCTGAGTAGGTTTTTTTTTGGAGAATTAGGGTCCACATACAATCCCTTGAGGTTTGATATGGGGGCAACGTACTCCCTAAACCCTAAACCCTAAACCCTAAACCCTAAACCCTAAACCCTAAACCCTAAACCCTAAACCCTAAACCCATAAGGTAAGTCGTCCGGTAGGGCGAAGCAAGGCCGCATGCATGGAAGGCCTCCTTTGAGGGTTGGGATGTTCCCCCGTATTCTAACAGTCCTCAATAGGGGTTCTAGTGTTTAAGGACTGTTACCATAGGGGGAAGATCCCAACCTATAGGGCTTGCGACACATGGGTTTAGGGTTTCGGGGTATCAGGCCGATGTTTACGCAACGAAGAGTTTCAGCGAAGCAGTGTTGACGCACAGGCCTAAAAGTTACGAACAAGAACAGAACGCCCGAAACCCCAACCCCCAAACCCCAAACCCCAAACCCCAAACCCCAAACCCCAAACCCCAAACCCTAAACCCCAAACCCCAAACCCCAAACCCCAAACCCTAAGCATGCTTCCGGAAGGGCTGTGCACCCCCAAAGCCCTGGCAGTACAAGCTGAGCCAGGAAAAGAAGCAGCGTCCACTCTGAAACCTCAGAAAAATTCTGCAGGGCTTAGGGCTTAGGGCTTTGGGTTTGGGGTTTGGGGCTTAGGGTGTAGGGTTTAGGGGTTTAGGGTTTCGGGTTTGGAGTTTAGGTGTTGAGGGTTTCGGGGTTTAGGGCTGGCTCTAAACACTCCCTAAAGCCTAAACCCTGAACCCTAAGCCCTAAACCCTAAACCCTGGGTGTTCTTCGGTTTGCGGGCCTGCTGGCCTCTGATGACTACAGCCGGGCCTCAGTCCTGGCATCAAGCAGTTTAGGATTTAGGGTTAAGGGTTTAGGGTTTCGGGTTTAGGGGTTTCGCGGTTTTGGGGTTTTGGGTTGAGGCTCTTAACAAAAGTTATTTTACTTCGCACATCTCCCCACCCTCTCTTGGTAGAGATACTTCGGGGTTGGGGTTGGGCGGTTGGGCACTCCAGAAAGACTCTGGAACTGGGCACTCCGGGGACACTCTGGGTTGGGCACTCCAGGGAAACGCTGGCCGGGAGACTCTGGGGCTGGGCATTCCGGGGACAGTCTGGGGTTGGACTCCAGGGAGACTCTGGGGTTGGGCACTCCCAGGGAGACTCTTGGCATTCCGGGGACAATCTGGGCTTTGTGGTACTTTACTGTAACTTTAGATCCTTACCTTTTTTGGGGTTTATTGGGTTTCTTATTAAGGCAGCTAAAAGTTTAATTGATAGCTACCCTCCTGAGTGCAGCCAAGTGGGGTTGGGCACTCCAGGGACACTCTGAAGTTGGGCACTCGAGGGACACTCGGTTGGGCACTCCAGAAAGACTCTGGGTTGGGCACTCCAGGGAGACTCTGGGGTTGGGCACTCTAGAGGTGGGCACTCCAGGGACACTTTGGGGTTTGGGCACTCCAGGGATGAGTGAGGAGTAGACCGGGCAAGGAAAAGAGTTCCGGGCGAGAAGAAGAGTTGAGCTTAAAAGCTAACAACCCCACACCGGGGGTGGGTAAAAATTTCCAAAAAAAAGCGCAGGCTGGACGGCACGGAGATCGTCCAACTTCCCATGGTCGAGCGCTACTCCCTGGCCGTGACGCGCCGTTCGGTTGGAGTTTAGGGTCTAGAGGGTTTAAGGTTTACAGGATTTATAGGGTTTATAGGGGTTTATGGGGTTTATAGGCTTTATAGGCTTTATAAGGTTTATAGGGTCTAGAGGGTTTAAGGTTTATAGGGTTAGGGTTTATAGGGTGTAGGGTTTGGGGTTGATAGGGTTCAAGGTTTATAGGGTGCAGGGTTTAGGGTTTATAGGGTCTAGGGTTTTGTTTATGGGGTTTGGGGTGAACAGGGTGTAGGTTTTAGGGTCCATAGGGTTTAGGGTTTACAGAGTGTAGGGTGTAGGGTTCATAGGGTTTAGGGTTTATAGGGTTTGGGGTTGTTAGGGTTTAGTTTATAGGGTTTAGGGTTCAGGGTTTGCTGGGACATGGTCCACCCAACACACTGACATGATGTTCTTGCGGGATACTCCTGTTTATTTAGGGGGCCCCGAAAAAAGTGACCATCATTTCGGGAAAATGGCCCTTGTGGTTTTGGGCTTCAAAGGCCTGCAGCTGTACCAAGCAGAGAAGCTGTTCTTCGCGGGCTACTTCCGTGCGCTGGCCGCTTGCGGCCTCGGTCGAACACCCACAGAGCCCAAGACCCCCTGAATTGAGGAATATATACCTTAATTTTCAGTTATAAAGGGATCCTTAGTATATCTTAGTATGGTTTTGGTCATATTCCTTAATAGGGGGTCTGGGCCTCGGTTGAACATCTCTGTTGGGACGTATCGTGCTCGTGGGGTTCAGGGTACGTCTGCAGGGCCCTAAACCCTGTAAACCCTGTGACCCTACAAACCCTATAAACCCCAAAAAACCCTAAAAACCCCTATAATCCCTGCAACCCCCTATAAAAAAAAAAAACCACTAAACATAATATACCCTCAAAACCCCTATAGTCCCTGTAACCCCCGATGAAAACCCAATAAACATTATAAACCCTAATCAGAGGATCTTTCCATATTCTCCTCGGTCCACAGCATGGGTCACGGCTTGAAGGTCCCAAGGGGCTACCCCTGAAGCCCTAAACGGTTCCTACATTCCCCCCCCCCCCCAAATTAATTTCCCCCCCTCCCAAATTAAGGTGCGTTTGCGTGGGGGAGGGCGAGCCCTGAATGCTGAACAGCAGATCCGGGCAGATTTCTGAGGCGTTCAGCTCTCGCAGGCGGCGGACGCGCCGTTGGCCGAGCGTCGTCTTTGGGCCGAGATGGCACTGCGGCACGCGCCTGGGACAGGGTATATTCGTGCCTTCAATTCCTATGCCATGTGAGCTCCAAACCACAAGCCAGGGTTCGGGAATTGTTGGAAACCCTAAACCCGAAGCCCTAAGCCCTAAACCCTAACTGTAGGGTCTAGACCGCCAGCTGAAAGGCGCAGCTCTTCCATGCAGAGGACGCAGCTCTGCTCGACCACTGTGCGGCGGCAGTGGAGGTTCCGTGCTGAAGGGCTTAGGGTTTAGGAGTTATAAGAGTTTAGGAGTTTAGGAGTTTAGGGTTTACAGTTTCGGGTTTAGGGTTTAGGGTTTAGGGAAAGCTCTGCGAAGCGAGGCAGTTCCTGAACCTCAGCCTCTAAATCTTGCAAGCCCTTGGAGAAGCGCATGCATGCGCTCTGACTCCTATGGCACACAGCACCTTTTAGAGAACCCCCCTGGTAGACCCTAAACCCTAAACCCTAAACCCTAAACGCCAGTCCGCCCGTCGGTGCATCTAAGGCTTCCAGAGACTCTTGAGGATTCTGGCTGAGACCAAGGAGTCCACGTCTCCGAACGGGACTACATGGAGGTGCATGGGTACTTGGAGACTTCCCAATTCTAAGTCTACTTAGAACCTACTTAGAGGACTTAGGGGACCTAGGAGGATTATAAGTGCAGCTATCATTGGGCTATAAGTACCATTAAGTACCCTAAACCCTAAACCCTAAACCCTAAACCCTCCAAGTATGGGTTCTCCAGCTCCCTGGGAGAGGGAGCTCCTGACTTCCTCTCCTGGGATGGCATGCGAAAGTCATTGGCAGCTTGCCGGCTACCTTGCAAAGTTAGGGTTTAGGGTTTAGGGTTTAGGGTTTAGGGTTTAGGGTTTAGGGTTTAGGGTTTAGGGTTTAGGGTTTAGGGTTTAGGGTTTAGGGCTAAACCCTAAACCCCAAATCTTAAGCATCCTGAACCTTGTAAGCCCTACTTGGACCCTCCTTACACAGAAGAGGTCCGAAGCCCTTACACGAGGAGGTGGCTCCATCTCGACACCTTGGCACGCCGAGCCGTGCAACCCGTGCAACGCCTGAAAGCCCTTCGTGGCATTCATGGGGCGGAGCTTTGGGCTACAACCCTAAACCCTAAACCCTAAACCCTAAACCCTAAACCCTAAACCCTAAACCGTCGGTGCTTCAGAGTCGTTTTTTTGCTTTATTGCTGAAGCATTTAGGGAAGGATGGGTCTGTTTAGCGGCTCGAAGTTTGCTTCGGGCTTTTGTTGCAGATCTGGGCGGCACGTGGGGTTAGGGTTTAGGGTTTAGGGTTTAGGGTTTAGGGTTTAGGGTTTAGGGTTTAGGGTTTAGGGTTTAGGGTTTAGGGTTTAGGGCTTAGGGTTTCCGCGTGCCTTGTGCTGATCCTGTCTGAGATGAACCCTTCACCTCAAACTTCTCTTGGGACATCTGCCCTAAGGCAAAGCTTAACCCTAAAGGTTTAGGGTTTAGGGTTTAGGGTTTAGGGTTTAGGGTAGTCCCCGAAGGTTACTTCGAACCCCCAACCCCAACCACCAGCTCCTTCTAAGGCTTAAGGGCAACTTAAGGGTTTATAGGGTTTAGGGGTCTAGGGTTTAGGGTTTTTTACAGATCCTTGCGGTCTGAAAGCTGCCGTTTAGGATTTAGGGTTTAAGAGTTTGGTCCAAGTGCATGCTTGATAGAGAGTCCGCAATAAAGCGGTTCTCGCCTAACGCCCCCTTAACCCTAAACCCTATAAACCCTAAACCCTAAACCCTAAACCCTATAAACCCTAAACCCTAAAGCACTCAAGGTTGCAGCTCAAAGTTGGCCACGGTGGCGGTGGTCCACACGTTCCAAGTCTACACCAGGCTTGTGGCATTCGAGCATCGGGCTGTTCGTAGACGACTTCCTACTATTTGCTTGAACCCCCTCCCGAAAAAAAGTAAGATACGACACATATTGCTACTCCCTTTATTGATTGCCCTTGTGCTGCTAGACCAACTGGATGCAACGGCAGAGAGACAGAGAGAGAGAGAGAGAGAGAGAATTTTCCCTTGTGAGGAAGAATATCTTTATTGTGCAGGGGGGTTCATGGGGGGTAGGTACCTAGGGAATGTTAGGGAATCTTAGGGAGCCTTAGAGTAGTACGGAGTACTAGGGAACCGTGGGTGACATACCCCCCCTTGAAGCCCCCTAAACCCCCTAAACCCTAAACCCTAAACCCTAAACCCTAAACCCTAAACCGCACAAGTCGGAGGCAGCGACGCAAGCTCGGGCCACCGGAGCGATCCTCCCCGGCGCGAGGGCAAAAGCGCGAAAGTGCAGACCTGCCAGAGCGGAGCTCCCTTCGTGTTTGGGGAGTGGAGGAGTTTAGGGTTTAGGGTTTAGGGTTTAGGGTTTGGGGTTTAGGGTTTAGGGTTTAGGGTTTAGGACCTAAATCCTAAACCCGAGATTAGGCCCTAAATCGAAACCTTGAGAACCCTAAACCCTCAAACCTAAAACTGCGAGTCTTCAGCGTTCCTTGCGAACCCCGGGACTCCGCAAGTCCTGAGGCCGTTTTCCTTCTCTCTCAGGGTTCGAGAAGCCTAGCAGGAAGCCCTAAACCCTAAACCCTAAATTCTAAACCCTAAACCCTAAACCCTAAACCCTAAAACTTAAACCCGAAACCCTTAACCCTACACTAGCTCCCGACTGTGGCGCCTTGGGTATGCAGTAGTGGGTAGTTCCCGCAACCCCTAATTTACCCTCAAATGCTATCTTCCTTATTTTACAGGAACCCTCAGAAAGGGTACCCCATGCACGGAAACCCCCATCTTGGTAGAATGCTAATCATGCTGCAAGAATCGTCGTTATTTGAATACGAACACTGTGGCTCCCGCAAACCTCAACCTCCAGTCCCCCCCCCCCCAAACTCTTCTACACTAGTTTTCTTATACCCTAAGGCCTAAGGCCTAAAGCGTAAACCCTAAACCCTAAACCCTAAACCCTAAACCCTAAACCCTAAACCCTAAACCCTAACCCGTAGTCCCCCTGGAAGCCTTCTATCTGGGACAGGGCAGCACTCTTCAGGGCTTGCCACAGGAGAGTGCGAGGCGGGGCTGCGCAATTCGATAATCTTTTTTAGGGTTTCAGGTTTAGGGCCTAGGGTTTAGGGTTTAGGGTATAGGGTTTAGGGTTTAGGGTTTAGGGTTTAGCCACCCATGTCGAAGAACACAAAGGGTTGGTTGAATGATTCTAAGCGAAGCAGCCTGTCCACAGTAGTGGGGTTTATACGGCTCAGGATGGAGCACTGCCGCTGAGAGGTTGAGGGGGGGCTTACGATAATCGGGGTACCCTGCTGGGGGTCCTTTCTTAAGGGATTCCACAAAATTTGGGGTCAAAAAGGGGTACTCCCCTTGTAGGGAACCCCCAATATAGGCGCCATAGTTGGAGGTTCTGGGTACTTAGTAACCCATTCTAAGTGTGGCTGTAACACATATAAGCCCCTTAAGTACCCTAATAGGGCTATAACTGGGTTATATGTACAGTTGCAATTCGGTGACTAAGTACCATGAACCTCCAAGTAGGGGTATGTTAAGGGAACCTCTTAGGGGTACGCCCCTAAAGGGGTACCACCCCTCATCATCTCTTGCAGCTTGTTCCGGAATCTCTTGGGCCAGCGCTTGGGTTTAGGGTTTGGGGTTTGGGGTTTAGGGTTTAGGGTTTAGGGTTTAGGGTTTGGGGTTTGGGGTTTAGGGTTTAGGGTTTAGGGTTTAGGGTTGGAGTCTCAAATAGCTGACGTTGAAGGCCCCCGCCCCCCCACCCCTGTCGTGTGCAAACTTTTCCTCTAATCAGGTCCCTTGTCGAAAGTCTTTCATTCACACGAGGGGGATGGTGTGGAGAAGCTCTTTTTTTTTGGGGGGGGGGGGGCGGGGGTTTAGGGTTTAGGGTTCAGGGTTTAGGGTTAAGGGTGGGTACTGGGGTAGACATGCCTTTTGTCAGGGGTGTTCGACATTGAAAGCCTCCTTACGGAAGTCGCCCCCCCTTCCCCCCCTCAACCCTAAACCGTAAACCCTAAACCATAAACCCTATACCCTAAACCCTAAACCCTAAACCCTAAACCCCAAACCCTTCACAGGGAGGAGTCGGCGCCTCCCCCGCGCAGCTTCCACGCGCACGACTCCGAGGCAGCCACCGCAGCCCTGAGTGCTTTTGAGACATGAAACCTGAGAGGGTTTAGGGTTTAGGGTTTGAGGTTTAGGGTTTAGGGTTCAGCAGCTCCGGATCGAGCATTTTTATGGTAGTGTTATATTTACGGCTTGGATATAACACCCACCCACCCAGAGAATCCCATAACATTAAGAAACCATATAAAGTATCTTCATACAAAAGTTCTTTTCAACGAAGACTACGGCTACAGAACAAATTCGTTCTTAAAAATCTGCATTGCGTCACACAAAGATGAGCATAAGAAAAAGGGTTGGGGGTGGGGGGGGGTGGGGGGGGTTGGGGGTGGGGGGGGGGGAGGGAATGGGGGTGGGGGGGGGGGTGGGGGGTTGGAGTGCTGGGGTGGGTTGTGGGGTGGGGCGTGGGGTGTGGGGGGGGCTGGGGTGGGGGGGTGGGGTGGGAGGGTGTGGGGGTGGGTGGGGGGGGGGTGGGGGGGGGGGGGGTGGGTGGTGGGGGTGGGGGGGGTGGCGGGGTGGGGGAGAAAATAGGGGGGGGATGGTGGTGGGGGGGGGGGGGGGGGGGGGGGGGTTCCACCTTCGGGCAGGGGCGAAGCAAAATCCTCCTTCGGCCAACACGACGGGGGGAAGAAATTAGGCCCCTTAGCCAACGAAGAACTTACCGCTTAGAGCGGAGGAGCCACGCAAGAAATTACCCTTATAGCGGTCCAAACTCAACTAAGAAATTACCCTTACGTAAGCCGAGGAGTCCACGAAGGAAATTACCCTTAGCCATGAAGAAATTACCCTTCGCCACGAAGAAATTACCCCGGGGGCCACGAAGAAATTACCCTTAGCCACGAAGAAATTACCCTTAGCCACGAAGAAATTACCCTTAGCCACGAAGAAATTACCCTTAGCCACGAAGAAATCACCCTTAGCCACGAAGAAATCACCCTTAGCCACGAAGGAATTACCCTTAGCCACGAAGGAAATTACCCTTAGCCACGAAGGAAATTACCCTTAGCCACGAAGAAATTACCCTTAGCCACGAAGAAATGACCCTTAGCACCCATGAAATG